TCGCTGCCGCCCCCGCGAGCTCAATCACCTCTGACGTGAGGTACTCAAGCAAGGCGGCGCAGTAAATGGCAGCGGACGCTCCGCAGCGTTGCTTGCGGTTCAGCCCGTCCTTCAGCCGAGAGTGAATGCGGCCAACAGGGAAGTTAAGATCGGCACGAGCCGCACGTGACATCTTGTCGCGCTTTCCTGCCTTGCCCCCCGTCTTGCCGCCACGCTTCCCTTTGCCCTTGCCTTTGCCCTTACCACGCGCCGCAGCTCCCTTGCCACCGTGTTTCCCGCCGGAGACAATACTCGTCTGATCGGCCGTCGCAGATCCTGGCCCCATCATGGCGTTCTGCTGCAGCGGATCATCACCGGATAGCGACATAATTGCAGAGGTGTGTACTGGTATGTATATATATATATGTATATATAATATAATATAATATAATTTGTGTGTGTATGTGTGGTGCCTTCCTTCCTTTGTGTACGGGAGTCACCGCAACTTTTTTGTGTTTCTTTTTCCTTCTTTGCCCCTCCAAACCGACTTATACTCGCATAAAGGGAAAAAAAAAAAAAAAAAGGGGGGGGGGATTTTTAAGCATACAAAATAAAAATAAAAATAAAAAATGAATAAATAAAAAAGTATTCACAAAAATGCATGCTTTTGGTGTTTTTGCTGGCATATGTGTACAGGACGTATCACCGCCCCCCCAATATTAAAATAACACCAACAACTCCTCCTCCTCCTCCTCCTCCTCCTCCTCCTCCGTCTCCCCTTCCCCTTGCTCTTCCTGTTCCTGCAGGCACGTCGCACATATCAGAGACATGGTTTCAGATAAAATGTTGCACACGCCAGCGCCTGTCAGCAGTGCGCAGGGGTAGTGATAGGACTTCCGCTGGCACCTCTCACACAAAATCAGGCATTTTCCTCTGTTTGAACAAAAGAAACATGTGGAAGCACGCAAAGAGCCCTCCAGCTGCTGCATCTGTGTGTCCATAACCGCAACCTTCAAAGCGACCGCGTCTCGTACTCGTTCATGCAACACGCACCACTCGAGACACGCCTGGTGCACTAATAGCGTAGAAGATGAAAGAAAAGTCCCGCTACGGCCATGCTTTCGGCACATACCGCTTGCTGCACGCTTCACAATTTGACTGGGAAGGTGCAGATCCCACATGGAACCCAAAAAGTCGCTCAACGTCACCTCGTTCAGCCTCCGAAGACGCATGTGGTCGCAGGTAGGATCCGAATTAAGAATCCGCTGTAAGTATTGGCGAACCCGAGTACGATTCTTGATATCTAGCCCGCATAAAACGCAGCAACCAACACGCTCATAGGCCCCCACTGAGAGTTCCCCAATGCAACGACGTACTGCCACGCACTGATAATAATGATTTTGCAAAGAACAGGAAAAAGAACTTGCAATCGGACTTCTCAAGGAAATGCGTTGCGTTTCCGCGTCTTCGCATGCAACAAAATCGTCAGTCAGCACAGGCACGGGCGGCGGAGAAGTACGCAGGAACTGTGTCTCTGGCATAGTCACATCTCGGTGGATCGTCGGTACCCTCACCGTCTTTTCATCGGCATCGTCGTCCACGGTCGGAGTGGACGCAAGTGAATCCCTCACAGCAGCCGTCGGAAAACACTTTTCGTCCGCCATCTGTATCCCAACAATCTTCTCCGTCAGGCGCGGCGGTGCAATATTGCCAGCCCTCACGGCAGCAACGTGTGCCGTCTGTTGCAGACGCAGTGATTTGGCCACATCTTGCACCAGGCCCATGAGGCTCGCGACGGTCGGCAGTGATGTGATTGCCCGGCGGCTCATGACAGCGTGGTTGCACAAAGGGCACCGTGGCCTCTCCTCAATGGAACGCTCGGCACACGCCTTGCAGAAGACGTGGCCGCATGAAAACACCACTGGGGAGCGGAGAAGGGTGTAGCAAACACGGCACACGAGGCACTTCTCGGCCACCTGCAGTAGAGCGCGAACGGCCATTAACGCGGCCACAGACACGCCCTCCCCCTCTCTTACCTTCGCCCTTTTGTGAAATATCGAAAATGGATCAACCAAACACCACCTGAGAGCACCGGTTTTGTTTTTTTCCCTTTTTGCTGGCTGGCAGCATGTACGCCTGACCAAACAAGACAAACACGCGCCTCCAATAAAACCCAACAAAAGAAAGAAAAAATGTTCCCCTATAAATAAAGCCTCCTCCTCCCTTCACACAGTCCTTTTATTTGTTTTCTTTTTTCGTCCCCTGGCCGTCCCTCACGGCGCAGGCGTAGACGCAGACACAGATACCGCCGTTCCTTCCCCTTCCCTCTGAAGAAAATAAATTCAAAAAAAAAAAAAGCCAACAAAAAGTTATCGAGTCCAGCACTAAGGCACGCACATGACGTGTAAGAAACTACCAAGAGCCGCATCGCGCAAGGTATCCGTGGCGCACGCATGCAAATAAACGGAAACAAGACGCGGAAGACAGACGCGACACAAACACCGAAAAAGAGAAGAAAAAAACAAATGCCTCATGAAGAAAATTCTCCTGCCCTCCTCCTATTTGAACCGGCCTTTGGATCCTTTCGACTACGCATACCACTCCCGTCATTCGCCGCCTTAGTTGGCACAGGCGTTTGAGCCAGATGCAGGCGTTTCTGTCGCTCCATGCGATTCCTTTTCCGCTCCATATTGATCTGTCGCTTGACTTTCGACACCATGGACTTAAAGGCAGACCTCAAACCGGCAGCACCATGGCTATTATCCCGACGCCCATTCGCGCCCGGCTCGTCGTATTCTAGAAACCGCACCATCAGCAGGTTACTGCTGCGAATAAAAACGGAGCCAACGTAACGCCGACGTGTCGCGGGACTTGCAGCAGGCGCAGGAAACCCTCTCACCGCCAGCAGCGCACGCTCAACATCGCACAGGCGATCACGCCATGATGTTGCCTCCGCCAAGCTGATGTTATAGTCGTCATCCAACGACAGAAGCTTGCCCTGGTACACATACCCTTGCCGTGTCTCAGCCTCGACTCGGAGAGCCGACGGCGGCCGCGATGGCGATAACGATGACGTCTGGTAAGGAACATCGGTGCTGGTGTTCGTGGCAACCTGCTGCGTAATGGCCTGTTGAATGACGATGGCCGGAAGAGAGCCCCGCGACGCCGTTGACTCCACAGGCATCTCGACCCGCCCCCTGCTGCCCACTCCCCTCCATCAAACCCACAAAAGCAAAAAAACAAGATAAACGGAAATCAAACTCAGCAGTAAATTCCGAATGGTGACACAAATTCCACAGCATCAGCGTAAGGGGGCACTCAAAGACCGCCGTGGCAGTTTCGGTGACAATGAGGCGGCGTCCCTCTCAATGGATGAAATTAACACCACACCAAACAAAACCAAAAAAAAAAAAAAAAGCGACAATAAAAAAATGAGGGGACCAGGGTTTGGTTCTATAAGCCCAACGACCCCAATTCAAAGGAGACTGCGCCAAAACTCTCACAAACAGAAAAGTAAAAATTAGTTCTTTGCTCCATTCGCGAGAAGCAGGCTCGTTGTGAGCCCGAAAATCGGCAATCTTCGAGCCCCACAGCCGCCAGACACCCTCTCGAAGCGCGTAACACAAAGTGGATCCCTGGCGATTTTGTCGCCAACTGCCTCACCGTGGTGACAGGGCCCATCACCGAGAGACGCGAGTGCGATTCTTCGGGAAGCCAAAAGTCAGCCCTTCTGCAGCGCAGTGCTCCGGATCTCAGCCTGTACTGCACCGCGATGTGGTCGCTGCTGTGTTGCCAATGCATCGTTATGCGCCCTAGAATGCCAGCGGCATTATCGCAGGGGCAAAGCGCCTGACCCACAGACCGCGGCAGGAAATGCATGCGGAAGTTGGCATCACGCGTACCACGGTCAATTGGCCAGCCTGTCGGACAGGGGAACCACAGCCAGTCATCTCCACACACCGGTCGTGTGGGCGGAGCGGGTGGCACACGAGCCACGCCCCCAGCAAAAAGCGAAAAGTCCAACTGGAGACCGATCCCCTGAAAATGCCGGCCGCCGCAGCGTGGTGTCAGGGTCGATTGCCCCGTATTGTCGGGGGAAGCCAGGAGCCAGCAATGTTTCCCTCACGGGATTGTTGCTGTTGACACGGGGCTGACGGTATTCGACCAGCGCCAGCAACAGCCGCGTCTTGCTGGGGCACAGTTGTAACGCCATGAGGTGTAGGGGCGCGTGCTGCCGTACGGCGTGCGAGCCATCGGATTTATTTGTGAAACCGTGAGAAAAGAAAAAAGTCGGGGCAAAAACAAAACAAAGAAACGTCCTCACCGCATTCCAACGCGGTCTCCTCGTGAACAAAAGCCAGTGATAAAAATATAAAAAAAAAGAAAAGCCAAAAACAAAACAAAGAAACGTCCTCACCGCATTCCAACGCGGTCTCCTCGTGAACAAAAGCCAGTGATAAAAATAAAAAAAAAAGAAAAGCCAAAAACAAATTTAACAAATTACTCATCCTCATGTGTTCGCACATCCGCCCAAAAGATTCGCAAATTTAAAAAATGTATTCCTAAAGATCATTTCTTTATTATGAGATCCCGCACACATACATTTACCGCAACAGTTAACACCCCAATTATTACTGCACCTACCTATGTAAGAAAACCCTCTCTCGCTACATCAAACAAAAGCAATCATCAGGAGCAGATGCAGCAGCAAAGCCCACGCACACAGGAAAACTCTTCCACCCGAAAAAGCCGAAAATGCACCGCCGTCAACAAAAACGAAAAAATTACGGTAGACGCCACCGGCAAAAGGCATCGAAGGCGTACTTTTGTCACCACTTTCAAAGGGAGTTGAGGACGTACTTTTGGCACCGCTGCCAACGGGAGTTGAGGACGTACTTTTGGCACCGCTGCCAACGGGAGTTGAGGACGTACTTTTGGCACCGCTGCCAACGGGAGTTGAGGACGTACTTTTGGCACCGCTGCCAACGGGAGTTGAGGACATACTTTTGGAACCGCTGCCAACGGGAGTTGAGGACGTACTTTTGGCACCGCTGCCAACGGGAGTTGAGGACATACTTTTGGAACCGCTGCCAACGGGAGTTGAGGACGTACTTTTGGCACCGCTGCCAACGGAAGTTGAGGACGTACTGTTGGGGCCGCCGTCGTCGTCTTCGCTGCTGTCCAGGTTTCCTTCCGTGCCTATCAGGTCCTGGCTCAAGAACAAGGTCCTGATTTCCTTGGCATCCAGCTGGCGGTTGTAAAGAAGAACATTGGTTACCGTCACGTGGCTCATGGTTGGCATATCACTCCTTCCATACCCGCCAACGTAGAAGTGGGAAATGTCAGGCGTCCTCTCGTCTGGCACAACGGTCTGCCCTGAACCCTTCAGAAGTTCTCCATCAATGTACACGGAGCCGTTTCTATTCGCCATCGTAAGAACCACGTGGTACCTCTTACCCGTCTCCCACGATCCGGTCGGCGTCACCGGTGTTGATCCGTATATTGGCTGCCACTGGTGCTTCTCGTCGTACGAGAGCCCCAGGAGTTTTTTGCCACCAGAAGAGTCCAGGCTCGCACCCAGCAAAGGACTCGCGACGCTCGGAACCTCGTGAATCGTCACCGACGCCACCAGCGTGAACGCGTGGTTTGCAAAACGATACCGTTGATTCTGCCCCTGCTGGCTCACCGGCCAAAGCGCCCCTCCGCCAACCCCCGCAAACTTCAAACCGTTTGAAACTCTCTCCGCATTTGCCGTGCTTGCGTCCACGCAGCGGTACGCATCCTTCCACTTGGTCTTGTTGGCACTGTGGGACAAAAAGCCAACAAGACCAACCGTGGTGACAGCGGGACCACAACCACGCTCGGACGACGAAGCAGCAGAATCAGCAGGGGTGCAATTGCTGGACAGGTGGCTGTCCCACTTCTTCCAGGAACGCACCACGGATTTGATGAGCCGTAGCTCGCCCACCAGGCGTGCAAAAACAAGGCTGTACACCTCGTTACTGTTGATCTCATGCAAACAGTACAGCTTATCATCCTTGTACAAGACGGAGCTGTAGGCGGAATTTTCATCACCAATGGATACTTGCCCAACGTTATAAATGCGCTGGTTGTCCGTCAGCCAAAGCTGCAGTCGGTCGCGCAGCCACCATCCCTTAAAATTCAGCGGGTGTGTGAAGAGCATCACACGCATTCCTTCGATGGTCACGGCAGTGAAGCTGCTCTGACTGCCGGGCATATTCGATGCTGGTGAGGGGCCCCACACACGCGAGAGCGTGCCGACAGCCTCCACCCACGTATTCCCCATGTCACTGGACTCGTACACCAGGCGGCGTGTCCAGTCAACTCGAGTGTTTATGATGAGCTTCCCCTCCCACTCAAGGGCCACAGGTTCGGAGCAGCCAAAAGCGCTCCTACCCTCCCCAAACTTCCACGTCTTGCCCTCGTCTTCCGAGTAGAAGATCTTGGAAAAAACCTGCTTCTTTTTGTTCGTAACCTGCACAGGGTACACAAGATTCCCGTTGGACGCCACAATGGCAACACCCGCACCGCCGAGAAATTGATTTGTTTGCATTCCTTCCATTTCTGCCGGGAAAAATTCCTTCAGTGACACGGGGCTCCCCCATTTGATACTCGCAGCCGTCTTGTCGTCCACAGTACACTTCTTAACCTCACCAACGGCAAGCAGAATATCCCAGTCACTCGCATCACCATGCGACGTCCAGTAGCTTCTCGAACTATTGTAGCTTCCGACCAGGACGTAAATCTTGTTGCCCTTCACAATCACTGTGGGATCCACCACACGAGAAGCAGACGATACACGACTGTTCTTGATGGCAATTTGGGTCTCCCACGTCTCCCCATCGTCCACGCTGTACTTCACCACCGTGTCAATGAGGGAGTTGTCATTGGATGTGTCGTAGCGAGCGTCTGCAATGGCAACCATCACCCCGTCCACATTAACAAGGGCGGGGAGGCGGAACGAGTGGACAACTCGCTGTCGGACTTCGCCGTTCTCTTCAAATGGCACCGTCGAATTTTGCCGCTTAAACAGCTCAACTCGGCTCGATCCGGGTGCCAGGGCGTGCGCGGGCTCGCTGGGGCAGAGCGCCAGAAGAAGCGGCACGAAATGCGTTAGCCAGAACATCCTGCTGGCCCCGACGACTGTCCTCCCCATCGTACTCGGTGCCTACCTGTGTGCCCTTCGAGTGTTGTTTGTAGAATTTATATTGCGCCTAAATCAATAGCGGCAAGACCGTCTCTTTGCAGAGGGATTGCCGCGGGGGTGGTGAGAAGAGAAGGAGAACACACAAGTCGCAGAGGATTCAGAGCACCGGGCACCGTCCGCGGGACAGCACGCAATTGTGACAGTTCATCATTGGTGGCGGCCACGCGCGGAAACCGTCGTTGTTTTTTTTCTCTACAGCCTCTTCCTCCGCGCCACCTCCGACGCCCGCGGGAATAGAAGGCAAGGAAGCAACGGCAGGCCTGACGGTCTCTCTTTCTGCGCTATCGAGCCGCCTCGCAGAAAGAAGGCACCGGCGGACGGCAGCCGCAAAGTGCGATCGCCACGGCGAGCCGGCGTAGGTGCGCCCAATCGCCGGCAGCTTGCCCGCTCCATCGCCGAGCCCCTCCCACCACCTCTGCCGCCTCGCTCTTCCCCTCAATAGGCCGCCCAAGCCGGTGCAGGAGGGCAGCGGCTGTCGCAAGAACGGGTGCTGCGCCCTCCCCTCCCGCGGCGACCGCCGCCGCCAAAACAGCCCTCTCGGCATCCGTGGCGTCCGCCTCTCCCGCGGCACCGCGCCACAGCGTCCAGCGGTGCGCCGGGCCCTCCGCAAGCTCCACCTCCGAGTGGAGGGCAATGTGCGGCGCGCCGCGGCAGCACCCGGCGACAAGAGCAGCGGACGCCTTGCCGCACGTGATCACAACATCGGCTTCTTCCTGGAGAAGGCTCAGCCTGCCGAGCGGCTCCTCGGGGTTCAAGAGCAACACGCCGCCATTTTCCAACCACGCGCGGCCGTCCAGCAATGCTTCGACGCACGGCTGCCGCTGCCCTTTTTCCGCCGCCAGGGTGAAGAGATGCCACGGATGAAGAAAGCGTTGGACGGCATGCAGGTAGGCCGCCGCGTCGTCGGGGGCGCCGCCGGCGCCAGGAAGGACAAGAACCACGCGCCGCTGCCGCGAGGCGCGCTCCGCCAAGGGCGCCGCTAGCACATCCGCCAGAACAGCCCTCGCAGCCGCCAAAGCAGGAAAGGCAACGTCGCCAAAAAAGGCCCCGCTGCGCACCACCCTCTCTCTGATGCCGTCCAGCTGCCGCAGCCCACCGGGCAGAGAGGCGAGCGCGGTGGAAAGCGATACGTCAAATACGTTCCCAAAGGCGATGGATTGAAGCAGCTGCGGCAGCAGGGGCGCGGCGCTCGGCAGTGGCTCCTCCCCGCCACCCCGCGCCACGAGCAAACGAAACAGATCCACTTGCCACGTGCTGGCGGGAACGCGCAGCTCCATGGATGGGTCCCGACGCCGAAATGGCCCAGCGGCGCCCAGTTTCTGTCGCGGCGGCGCGCGGCGTCGGCAGGTGGCGGCCAAAGAAGTCGCCATGAGCTCGTCATCCTTGGTGCCACGGGAAAGCCGGCATGTTATCAGAGCCCCGGCACCGCCAACAGCACCCAGAAGCCTCCCCATTGCCGCATCGACGCCGCCATCGCGCGACAGCCCCTCTGCGTTTCGCTCGTCGCAGTCCGTATCTCCACAATCCTCGGTGAACCACACCGCCGACGCAACCGTCAGCGCGCCGCTTCCCTCCCTCCACCGCCCGGGCGGCAGCCAGCCCCCGAGAAGACCCAGCGCCGCGCGCTCGTCCCGCACGTCTTCCGCAAGAAGACAAAGCCAGCTCACGTCCCCGGCAGCGGCGGGCGCGGCACGAGCACAGACACCATCAATGAGATAAAGCCGGTGGCCCCGGAACGCCATGTACACGTTAAAGCGACGCAGGGCATCGTAGGTATCGAAAACGCACAACACAACATGCTCTTGCACCGCGGGTTGCCAGTCCGCGGGACGCCGGAGGATCGCTCGACACACCGCACGAAACGCACGAGCAAAGAAGGCACCCACGCTTTCCGGCGGTGCATGCGTGACTCGTATCGTGCCCTGCTCGCCCTCGTCCTCCGCCTCTCCTGACGACGGCGGGGGCGACGAGGAAGGCGTCTGCGGTGGCGTTGGCGGCGCTGCCGTGTCCGAGGGCGGCGGCCCATCCCCGACCTCACCGCCGCAATCGCTGTCGCACGAGAGCTGTTGACCACGCGCTGTGTCGGACAGGGTCGGCTCATGCCGCGCCGCCGCACGCAGAGCACGCTCGGCGAAAGAGCAGCGGACGCCGCCGCGCGCAAAATCAGGCCACGGGCACGGCACCAACACGTACAGGGGAACCGCCCCGTCGTCCACACCAGGCTCAGCGTTCACGAAGGCCACCGTTGCTGTGCCGGCGCAGGCCTGAATACCGGTGACCTCCGCCAGCGCGTAATGGAGCGCCCCCGCGCGCCGCCGCCTTGGTGCAAAAACAACGCTGCCAACCGCAAAGCCGTCGCCGAGACCGCGCGCCATCAGCCGTGTCGCGGCAGAGCCTGGGGACGGCTGGCGCCCCCGCCGTTCTCTCGTCCACCCCCGCGTCTGCCGATCCATGACGCCAGGAAGTGCCGAGGAGCAAAAAGAAGAGAATGTGAGCCTGGATGAGGCCTTTCCACTATGCCTAGAAGAAAAGATGGGAAAAAGAAAAAGGAAAAACTGTTGGGACTAATGCGCTCAGCAAACACACCGCTCCGGAGAGGGGTCCCACACGCCCATACACCAGCTGAAGAATTTGTTCGCACAGCCATCTGCAACAGCAGGGACTGTGGTGGAGTCGCAAAGCGGCAGCCCTCGGGCCCGCAGCCGCCGCAGTCCCCTCGTGGAGAGCAGCGGGGGCGAGCGAAATGGGAAAAGAAACTGCCCCGCCACGCTCCAGCACGGTAAAATTGGAAACAAAAAAAAAAACAAGTAACAAATAAAGAGGCAGAGGTCTGAACAAGGCGCCCTGTTACCCACTGGGCCCTACCTGGTCGCATGCCTTTCTGGGATTCTAAAATAATAAAAAAACGGCCAATCAAAATGAAGCAGCTGGAATAGAAAAGCTACTGATTCTCCATTGCTCATTTATGCTGAGCCCCTTCTGGGGACCGAATCGTCACCACGTAAGTATTGGACCTCAAGTCCAGACAACATTGCAAGAGAGGGTCAAACACAAGTGAGTCCCCCGCGTTTTCAGTCTTTTCCCTCGCGTCGTCTGCACCCTTGGGTGGCTTGTTGAGATGTGTGGAAGAGAGTGGCATACTTCTAATATTGCTCATATAATTATTGGCACTCTTTACGGTACATTCTTTCTTTGTGTCGCCAAGATGCGCATTTTGACAACTGCGAGTCAACGGAACCAAAGGTGATGACAATAAGGTAGAAGAGTCTTCTCGTGAAGCCAACGGCCCTGGATGCTGGTACTGCTGCTGCTGCTTCTGTGAAGGAGATTTCGGTGGAAGTGAGGGAAGGCAGAACGGTTGACGTGCATCATCTTCTTCCTTATCCTTCTCGCCATCCACCTCGCAATTACTTCCCACGCTTATAAAGCGACCAGCATTTGCGGCAGTCGCAGAAAAGCCGCCAGCAGCAATTCCGTCCCTAGACATGGACGGTCGTCTGTATTCTGCTGTACTGATGCTACTCTCCACCTCCTCCCCGCCGTTGCCATGCCGCGGCGAAGGGGGCGGTGTGTTGGTTGCTGTACTGGCGAGGGCCTGGAAAGCCTCCAGCTTTACAATCTCACCCCTGGCCTGTTCCCCAAGTCGTCCACGGTGATGCGTGGCCCGCGTCCGTTGTGCCTGTGTCACGGAAGGGGCAGCAGCAGGAGCAGGACTAGTGATCGGCCCACTATAATCGGGAGATAAAGGACCTGAAAGGACCATACTGTCGTCCTCCACCAGCTGCGTTGTCCTGTGGACAGGCCGCTGTGACAAGGGCTCAATAAATCCATTCTCTGAGAATGAAGAATCAAAACAGAGCCGGTCTACCTCGCGCGGCTCCGGACGAAGGGAAGAAACAGGCGGTTTTTTACTAAGCGCGCTCGACTCACCGGGCACCACAACAGCTGGACGCTCGTGGTCTCCCGACGTACAGACATTTACCGTAAAGCCCTCATCCTCTTCGTCCTCCTCATCTGTGCCGACCATGTCCTTCTCCCCGTCGTTGGGAATGTAGGTGCAAACGTGTGCGACCCCCTCATCAGTGGTGCGCATCGTACTGCATGGAATCAGTGTGTTTTGTACAGGGACACCTCTTATTTTCTCTGGACGATGTTCCTGTGGTACCATAAAACAACGTGAAGAAAAAGGCCCCTGTTGTTGTTTTTGCGTAGAGCCATCGCAAAGAATTACATGTTGTCCTTCCGCCGACAATTGCGGCCATGGTCTTTCCCCTTGGTGATCGTTGTCTTCGCAACCTCCATGTTTGTGGTTGTGCTCATTATTGTTATTGCCTCCACCGGTCGCACAGCGATCGTCGTCAGGCGAGATCTCTCCCTCATTGAGAGAAACATCATGCTCTCTACTTTCAGAAATCAACGCCTGAATACATTTAACGCGCTGACGCATCAGATTAAGTGTATTCGCATAGTTGTTAAGAGAAGGTGCATGTATCACCTCTGGGACATTTTTGTCAATAATATTCAAAACGGTTTCCCTTGGCTGCGCGCCCCTCATGTTTGTCATCTCTTTTTTATCTGGGCGTCCCGGGGAATCAAAATACCGCGACGGTGTGGGCGCTACGAAGGCCACCGGCACCGAAACCGTCTCTTTTTTATTAACTTCGTTACCGTTGTTTTTTGATCTTGGCCACCACTCGCCGTCCTCCACCTCCTCTTCCCTCTGCTCCTCCTCGTCGTCAAACACAACGTGTGTCATGTCAATAAGGTTCACCACCTTCACTGGACGCTCAGTTACGGGGGTACGCGTATCAAAAAATCTTGTTCCAACCAACTGCAGCTGCTCCGTCGCCCCACCCTTTTTCGCTGTCACCACCGCAGCCGGGAGAGATGTTTGCACGCTTGCATCGCATCTAGGCACACTACGCGGGGGCGACCCCGCCAATGCTGACAACTCAATTGTCCCACTCTGCCATTTTGGTTCGCTCCCGTCGGCCTGACATCCTTTCGTGCAGGAAGCAGAGAGACCATTTTCTCCAGCAGCTACGCTCATCAGGGCCACATGAGGGTCGACGCCGCCGCCACGGTCCGACGCCCCCGGCACAGCACGCAACACTCCGGATTCGACGACTGATGATACGGAAAAGGACTGAAAAGGTACGGCAGGGACGGGTTTCTGCAGAGTTTTTTTGTGTACAGGAGCAGAGATGGAAAGGTCTAGAGTTGAGTTCACATGACTAAAAGCCTCAAGGTGGTGACAAGGCCCATCTGCAATTCTCTGCTGCAGAAATTCCTCCTCACACGTGCGAATAACCCAGAAATACGCATGCACCTCTGGTGGCAGACGCAGTGATAGGGGCCATTCCGCTGTTGCCAAGTCTCTATATGAGGGGGGTAATTGCGGCATGCCAAGAATTCGCCGTATGCGACAGACGCTGCTGCAGCCAAGAGTGACAGAGAGCAGCCTGCGTGATTTTATCAATTCTGCTGTGGAGAGACGTCCACCTGAATTCGCGTACAACGTCGCATGAATCTGGTGCACGTCCAAGACAATGTTTGACCAAACCCCTGGAGCAACACAACGCAGCGGCACCTTGACATGCTGCGCACATCGCTGCAGCTTTTGGAAGGTGTTGCTGAATAGTATGCGATGACGCCCCAGCTTATCCTGCAGCGTCAACTCCACCGTGAGAGAAAACGCAGTGCATGCAGACTCTTCACAAAATATCTGCAAGATAACGACACGCTGCGATGAGGCCAACGACCCTCCACCATTAGTACTAAGACTACTACTACTACTAATACTACTGATCCTTCCCACACGAGATTTCGTATTGCGCAAAAACGATATGTGGGCGGAAGGCGAAGTTCGAATCAGCTGCGATCTTGTTTCCTTGTCGTAGTAACGACTGACAGTTCCTCCCTCAACGTGCAGCCCAGCGAGCGGCCTCGATCCTTGTGGGCTGTAGAGTACATAAGACGGGACGGTATCCTCTGTGGGGCTGCAGACGAAGGGGACGGTCAATGCCGTCATGACTTGTGTGGGCGCTAATCTTCTGAACCGCCGCCGCTGCCGCC